GCAGATTGAAAATTGATTGTACAAGGAGTAAAATACCGGAGTGCTATTTTGCAGACATTTTGTGAGCAATATAAATTATAAATTTAGATTTCTGCGAAAGCTCTTTCTCTCTCTAGCTCTTTCTGTCTGTCTAATATTCAATTACACCATGTATCTTCCAGGGATATATTAGACCAGAAAAGACGACTTGTGAAATAGTCTTTTTTTGAAATGACGCCCACAAACTCTGTCGCATGCGGACAAAGGAAAAAGCTGAATCATTCACGACTGTTTATTTTGCTGCAAGAGAATAATGATGTGCCACGTGTACAGTCTCGTTTCATGAAAGCACGACAATCGGAATTTCCGAATCTGTATTACGCGATGCATTGTGTTCTGTAAACCTGATATCTGCAATATTAGGAATTAATGTCGTTATTATATATATTCCGTATTTTATTTTTTTCCATATTTTATGTATTTTACACATTTATATTATGTTTAACAAATTAATTTCTTGTCTTTGTCATTGCAAGTTATATACAGGGTGCGTCACCAAAATCGTCCGGACAAATCGAACAATTTCTTTAAACAAAATATTTTTAATGAAAAATTAAATATTACACAAAATCTTTCTGGCACTTGGGGAATCCCTGTAGAGCACAATTATTTGATATATCCCCCATTAGCTTGAATGACGGCCTCTATTCTTGGTCTGATCGCACGCACGCTGTAATGTAGCGCTGTCGACGAATAACAGTCCTTAATGACGTCACATTGGGCTGCTGAGACTTGTTTGTGACCTTTTCAACTACGCTCCATACGTAATAGTCCAAGGGATTTAAATCTGGGCTGTTGAGAGGCCAGAATTCCTTGGACCAAAACAAATCGATGTTGTATGAGAGCCAAGTCACGATATTAAAATTGAAAAAAATCAAATACGTTTGCGAATATAATGTCTTGATTATAGAAATAGATATATAGTAAGACTAGATAGTGATTTAGTAATTAAAATAATAATAGTGATGATACGTATAGAATAATATGGAAAATCTGAGATGGTGTCTTTCTGACATGGTTGCTATTACGAATGGTCTCATAAAAGATCCTGAAGATACATGGGGTACGGTCATAAGTATTATTCACGGTAGTTTCCAGTGGAAACGTTACTCGAAGTTATTAGATCACGCTGGGGACTCCTTTCAAAAGGCTTCGAGGCTCACAGTCAAAGTGTCAGAATTAGCATCCCGTTTCATCCTGATGGCAACGCCCATGAAAGTTGCTAATACAATAGTTACTCGCCGCCTGTTGCACTCCAACATGCACAAGGAGAGAAAGAGTGAGAAGGACGGGGGAGAGTTCGCTTTAAGATCCAACAAGTGGTTCGTCTGGGAGTAACAATGCTTCCTAATGTACTAGCTTTTGCCATTGTGTCGGCTCGGATGCGCGATCGGTCCTCGATTTTGGCGACCTTCGACGTTGGCGACGTCAGTACGGAAAGAGTTGCGAAAGCCAAAACGAATTTGGCTCAACATCTAGCTACGTACTCGCTAACGTTCAAACAATTTCTTTGAACTTTTTCTGTGTGATATTGACGCACGCGCGTACGTCCTATGAATGTATTTACTTAAATTTATTTGTCGAGATTTTATTAAGAGGAACACCATCACGTATGTATCTTTACATTTTGATCATTTAATTAGTCGCAATCGAAACTACCATTAAGATTTATACATTTTTAATTTACCATTAAATTGAATTAATTGCGAAATATGTGATTAAAAAGTGTTACGTACATGTAATATAACATGTATGAGCAAGTTTAATTTATAGAATACAAAAGTTGCACAAAAAAAAGTATTAACTTTGCTTCAAAGTATACGTCTGTATAAAGTATTTAAGTTTTAATAAAATTTTATAGAGAGATTTATCTCTTTTTTATAACATGAAGATAAAAATTTTTTAATAAAATAACATGATCGTATACATTTAAAAAATATTAACGATCAAGAAGAATTGGGAATTGAGGAATTCTTTGCTTTCCTGAAGATATCCGAAAATTTTAATAAAACTTAAATGTTTTTATTATGTAAATATAAACCAACTTCTTGATTAACAAATTGTGTTTGCATTGGCAATCATTGATACGAAAGAACCTTGGATATTTTACGAAGAGACCGGATCCGATAATCTTGTGTCTTATAGAATTATAATCGACATTGATCGAGTGCTTCCGTAACAGAAAAAGAAACGATATAGACCTCGTAAGTTTTTTTATAGAATTCTCAGAATCGCAACGTGCGTCACGCTCGTAAAGACTTTAAAATTGACTCGCGCTACAATTTTCCAAGTCAACAATTCTGATACAAATTAATAAAGTTGCCTCGATAACTAATTTGCAAAAAGAAAATTTTATAGTTATTTTAATGTCTTTATTCTATTATGATATCTAAAAAAAAAGGTGATGAGAGAAAATTTAATTTCAAATAATAGAAGTGAGAAAGAATAGAGTAGGGAAGAGATAAAAAATGTAAAGCAATAGAAATAGAATATAAGTTAGAATTATTATCAATTTATTTGAATACGCTTGTATTAAATGTTACGATTAAATCTATATACAAACGATATTTTTGCTGTATGCTATGCATCGCGCTAAATAAAACATTCACTTCGCGTTAATCGAGATTATCTCGCCTACTATGAACCTCGTACAAGCGCGATAATTAATTCGTGGATTGCATTGGTAATCATTCACTCATTAGCGACGTTCAAATATTTATTACGGTTGCCGCGGTTTCCGGATCCGCAATTCTACTCATTTCGAGTTTAACGTTACAGTTGATCCGTAATATATTACAATCTGATATTATTAAGCATGCCGGTTACATTTTACGAAACTATTTCTACGATCGATAAATTTTGACAATTAGATAATATTGTACATATATATATATATATATATATATATATATATATATCGTTATTTTTCAACGTGCCAAAGTTGAACTGTACGATACGATTTATAATCTCAAATCGTTAAATGATAACAAATCATTTTTTTACTTCAAAAGTGATACAATTCTATAAAATCAAGTTTTTCAAAAAAGGAAAAGAGCTACGTATTTTTTCAACTTGACAGAAAATTATTAACTAAGGAAATATTGAAAAGGGACATAATCAATTGTCATTCAATCGTCAAATTTCATTTTTGTTTTACACAATCCTTAAACAATTTTTTTAAATCATCCCTTTTAATTATAATGATTTTTAAAAAATTTCTCTCTTTGAGTTGTAACGATTTTGATGATTTTTTGATGAAGCTAAATTAATTTGCTGTTAATGATTGACATAACAGTTTTTCTAATTAACTTATTTATGATAATACGTAACTCGAAAATTACGTTTTTAAGCGTTTTAAGCTTTTGAGCAAGTAAAGTTAAGGGAGCAAAATTTCACAAGTATTTAAAGTTATAATTTTTATTCTCGTTGTCGGAGCTTCTCTCATCGAAAGCTTTTGTGAGTTGCAAATAAAGAAAGTATTCAAACTATTGGAAGAAAAATAAGATTCTCCTTCCTGCGCCCCCAACTGTGATTTAATTATGAAAAGTTTCAGCATAATATACGTCGCGAGAAGTTCTCAGAGTTGCCCCCCTGAGAACCACCCATCTCTTTACTACCAAATTTACGCTGATGATTCATCGTGTCTTAAAATAGAAGTCCAATGACTCCACAAAAGATCTTGACATTGTCTTGGCACTTATGGTATACTATATATATGAAAAATAATTGCGAAATTGTTTTTGTCGTTAAATTTAAACATTGATTTATCACGATTTAAAATGTGGAATATATGCAACTGTTGAATAGCAATATAACGAATTAATTATTTTATAAGTAAGGATATAACAATTTAAGTGGTTAATATAGATTAGGTAAATTCAATCATTAATAAAATAATTTAATGGATAATATTAAAATGGATAAAATGAAAAAAATATATATTAATATTATTTATGTATCTCGATATTTTTAAAAATTCTGTCACGTGAGACAAAACATTGCTGCACTGCGAAAAAGATACTTAACAATTTATTTATGGCACACAATGTTTGTTTCACTGAAATAAATTCTTATTTAATTACAGCAAAATACAATTTTATTTCTAAATAAACCATTTGTATTTTTTTTTTAATTAGAGATATATAATATTTCACAGAAATGTATATTTCGTCGTTATGATCAAATTTTTTTATAATTAATAAATATCGAAAATATTATTGTATTATATTTAACTAAATACAATATTTTATTGAATCTTCAAAATAATTATCTAGGATATTAAGCATGATAAAAATGTTTTAAAAAATTTGGCATTTTAGTCAAATTGAATGTCTCATATAATTATTTTCATGGTCCAACAAAATTATTTTCGGATTTGTATCATATCTAAATTTTTAGATGTTTCAACAAAACCGTTCTTTTCATATGAATGTATGAATGTATAAATATCGATCTAGTCACATGATGTCTGATGCAAGAACACTATCAACTACTGTTGCAAACTGCTGTTTCCTCAATCGCTTAACACGTGGCCGGATGAATAAGATTCTGGCAGCATTTGAATTTTGAACACTGTCTGATTATAGTCGATATGTTCGCATAATCTATTTATTAACTATGACGATGTCAAGTTAAAATAGTGTAAGATATTGAAATGCATTGAGACATCTTTACATTCTTCTTTAAACATTTATTAATTTCTCTTTTAATGAACAATGAGAAATGCATTGAACTTTCAATAAAATACTATTAATTGCATTAATATTAAGATAGATTTATTTTTAAATATGACAAAGAGATAGAAACAAATTATGTTACAAAACAAAATATATATTAAAATATTGAATCAATTCGATGCTGTCAAAAATCGAATATTGATCCAGCACGTGTAACTTGTCTTATTTGATGTCAATGTATAACAATGTAAAGAATAGATTGAAAATAAGTTTTCTTCTTTTTAGGCATGGAGCAGTTCGAGCAGCTGCTAACCTGTGCAATATGCCTGGATCGATACAGAAATCCGAAGCTCTTGCCATGTCAACACAGCTTTTGCATGGAACCGTGCATGGACGGCCTCGTCGACTATGTTCGTCGACAGGTCAAATGTCCGGAATGTCGTGCCGAACATCGTATACCCTATCAGGTAAATTATATTGATCCTGTTGAAACATAATTAATTTATGAAAGCTTAGAATTATTAAAAATATTTTTTAAATTATTTTAAGAGAAATCATTTATTTCGTGCTTCTGGTTTCGACTAGTTTACACATTGAAATACATATATACATAAATTATCTATATATAAATTACTATATCTATATACGTTATATATCATGTTTTAAAAAAAAAACATTTTCCGCAATTCTCTAAAAGTAATAAAATGAAAAGTATATATGTATACGATTGTGCAAGCTGTCGCAACTCGTTCGTCGCAAAATCAATTCTCCAGCAATTACGTGTCGCTTTATTGGATTTATGTCTTTAATGTTTACGATCGGACGAACAGGAAAAAATCGATCTATGTTTTGTCGCACAAATTAAATGTTATTCTGTGCGTGTCAATGTAACCCGATGTGCCACTACGTGTAAGCTCATCTTTATTCAACGACGAGTCCAAACGCGAGAGAATTCTCATTAAACCCAGTGTATTCTCGCGTTTCGTGCTAATGTGGTCTTTGAACCGGTCTATTTTTTCAGAATAATCAAACGCATTTACATAAGCAGCGGTAGCAGAATTCTAAAATGTTTTTCGTTACAATTGTATTAATTATTCGATTGTATGTATTTAGGGAAAAAAATCAAATAGTTTCAAGAAGATAAAGTAAAGATATTTAACAGTCGCGTCTGCACAAAAAGAACGATTTTGCTGAAATATCTAAAGTTTATAAGTAATATAAATTTTTATAAAAATTTATAAAGCTATATACAGATCTAAAAATGATTTTATTGAACCATCAAAATAATTATGTAGGAAAATTATATATGATGAACAATGTCGCAAAAAATGTTGACATTCTAACAATCAGCTAAATATTTTATATAATTATTTTGAGTCTAACAAAAAATTATTTTCAGATTTGTACCTCGCTAAATTTTTAGATATTTCATCAAAACTATCCTTCTATGTATTAATAGTCAATTCATCTATTTGACACTCACATATTAGTATCTTCTCTAATAAAGAAGACCCAGCGCGCGTTGCATAATTAATTCGCGACATTATGCGCACAGTGTATCGATTCCGGTCCATTAATAAGCGGCATACTCGATGCATGTACACGTATTACGAGCGTTAATCGAGCCGAACATACATCCTGTTTGTAGGGCGTGCAAGCCTTTCCGACCAACGTGACACTGCAGCGATTCCTGGAATTGCACATCGAAATCACGGGAGAATTGCCGGACCCGACCAGCGGTCAGACCATGGAACGCTGTGGAGTTTGCTCTGAGAAGAGTTACTGTCAACTGTGCGTGCATTGCGAGAAGAAATGCTGTCCCGAATGCAAAGATGCACACATGGATATTCTGAGACGCGAAATTACCCGCATCAATTCTCAGGTACAATGATATATATTTTCTGTAAATTTAAAAAATTGAGGAAAGTTAAAAAAATGGATGTAGCTGAAACCATGATTTAGAAAATAAATCTGATAGAAATTAAAAGATATTAATGAGAAGATATTAGAAAAATAAGGGATATTAGTCAGTTTACTTCAATAAGTTAATTACTTATTAATGTGCTCTATAAATTTCTTAGAGTGAAATTTCATTGAAAAAGAATAAAAATTGTCATTCTTTTTCAAGAAGTAAAATATTTTCATTCTTCTCCAAAAATTGCTCCTAGTAAGATTTTATTCCAAGAAATTTAGAGAGTGTCAGAAATATCAGTATGCCGATATTGAATCAGTATTAAAACTGCAATCTTGAAAAAAACGATGAATTTTAATATTTCTTTTTATCATTTTCGTCTACAAGTGATAACCGTTGTCAATCAAGTTTTTCCGTTTTAAGACAAACTCTATCACAGGAAATTTTGCTATGCCGATCGCAGAAACTAATTTAATCGGTTCTATAACTAATTTTCTCTTCGGTTCGTTGGTAGACGTTGTAATGTATTTAGGAAAGCGGAAACTGTTGTGTTATGGTATCCGGTATCGGGGTGTACTTTAAATTCGTTACGTCGTGCCCTTCGGCGTCCCAACGGAAAATTTATTGCCGCGCAACTTCGCGCATTGTAATTAAGCGTGTATACGATAGGGACGTACGTTATAACAAGATTGCGACCTAAATTTTTCGTTTTTTACTAAGAGCGTGCAATATGAAGACGTTAGTTGAATTTAATAACACGTATAACAAATAAACACAAAATAGAATCATTATTTAAATAAAAAGATCTCAAGCTTATGATCTAGATTTACGTCATTTAACTTTTATATTACAAATATTTAATCCGAAACTGATATCAAATGTAACAGTTACTGACTCTGACTCCATTGGGATCCATTTAATTTATGTTGATTAAAACCATTTAATTAGTTGATACTAATTAATTTGAAAAAAACCAAAATTAAATAATTTATACAAAAAAGAATAAATGATAAGTTTATTTTAATAACAATAATTCAAACTTATAGGTGTAACTTAAAAAATATGATTGATTGGGTCAAATAGATCTATGTTAGCTCCGCAGAATTAAATCTCAATTTCTCAGTTATCTTGTACTTCAAAAGTTATATAAGTGTATAAGTATTATTATTTATAATCTGGAGATTTGTATAGTATTTGAGAAATGCACTTATCCGAAACTTAGAAACTTTAAGTAAAATAAAATAGAAGTGATGTACTTTTTTTTTCGTGATAACGGTTCAACTGAGAAAAAGAAGCTATAACTCTTACATGCCGAAATTTATCGTTCGATGATTCCACATCAAGAACTTTGCAAGGCAAATTGTATGCATTGAGCGGGATGACGTTTGAAGATTGTGCGAATTTGCCGTTTGTCTCCAGGAGAACCCCGATGAATCACGTCTATTTCAAGTGACGGAATAAACTTCGAAGCGCGATCGTCTTTGAGACAGTCCAGAGACATTGAGATCGTGCTTCGACAAGCTGGATATCGCGCATGTAAGGCGCACAGATTTGTGAACATATTTCCATGTTCAAAGTTGCTAACACGGCTCTGTCGAATCTGTCAGATCGTCCTCTGTGCCATGGAAATTACGCGTGCGTGCCTGAAATATGGTCTGCTCTTCCTATTCAAATTCCCCGAGAATTTGATGCTGATCGCCATTTATATTTCATTATGTTTCACGATTATTCAGAAGCGCGGGCGTGGATCGATAAAGCGAACGGATAACAGGAAAATTCGTTATTATATGTATTATAGAAAAATGCTTAATAATAACTTTTCATTTTTTTTTAATTACAAATTAAAATTCTTGTTTACTCGTCACTACTATTTCACCGTGACGTCAGCGAAGAAATACACTATAAAAATTATGTTGCAAAAAAATTATCTGATAATCAAATATCTGAAATAGAATAGTGGTAAGTCAACAGGAACTTTAAAATGTATGCGTCTTTCTTTAACCAAATTTTAATTGTAAAATTTCGCTAAAAGCATTTGAGCATTATGTATGTGAATAAACTGCATTTATATAAAATATTATAATTATATTTTTTCCAAAGAAAGATGATTGACTACAATAATTGATAATAGGATGCGTAGATGAAAGGTAGCGCAAAAAATCTAGGACGCCCGATATACGTGAGCTTTTTAATTACTTAATTTATTTATTGTGCAACAGAAAAATACAAATTTTGTACTCTCTTTGTATATATAGACATTTATATTTAATTTCTACGACTCGTTGTACATTTTCCATGATTTAATTAGTTACATCGAGAAAAAAATCTGACGACATAAATTGGAAATCCGGTAGATTTAACCAGTTTGTTTGTTGAAAAATGAACAGATCAAAACTTTTCTAAGAAATATCAAATGAGCATAATTAACTTTTTCCTGTTAACTATCAGAATCAGAATTTCTTTGTAAGGTTATTAAATTTATTTTTATTAAATAAGAATAACATTTTAATAAAAAAACTTTTTAGTAAAAAATTCTAATGAATATAACAATAAATTTCCAATTGAATTTTTCTTTTCATTTTATTAATTAATGAATTGTGTGTGTGTGAGTGCTAAGTTATTATTAAATTATTCCTTAAGTTTATCAAATATTTTATAAGATATTCAGTTCAATCATGATAATTGAAAATTCTGTTTGATTTTACTAAAAGCTTTCTATTATATATATATATATATATATCTATTTTATACCTATCGATATAATCAAATTATTTTTTTAGAGTAATGAAACATTCTAGCGCCATAAATCTTTTCAAAAGGCGATATCGATAGGAGCTTGGAGCACAGTAGGATGAATTCTGCTGCTGGCTTTAATTAGTTAACAACCGGAGTTCCGTGTCGCGAGGCTTTCAGCCGCACAGTTAATTTTGTAATGCGCCGAATCTCATTATTGCATGGACACACGATTGCACTTGGGAATTTACGTGGCAAAATATCTATCTATTGTTTGAACCGCATGAAACGTCTATACTTAATTAATTTTTATTATATTTGATTTAACAAATATCACGAAATATCATGAAAATGTAAACGCCGTGCTTTATGAACATAAAAAGCGATAGAGAATAATTATTTCCAAAGGCAGCCTGAGTGGAAAAAACGAGTTGAACCATTTATTTCGCGAAACAACGTGTAAAATGATCCCCCTTTAAAAAGCTCGTTTTATTTATTTTAATAGCACCCGATTTAATCAATTTGGAAAGGACTCGTGCAATGTTCCATTTACGGTATAACACTTCGTAAAATTGTATTTACGCTCAATACATCGAAAGAATGATATTTTGGGGAATTTTATTCTATATAAAAAGGGGTATACCATGTCTATATCGTCTATCGTGTGTAATTTGAACCATTAATACAATTTTTATCTTGTACTCCGAAAAATTTCATTCATTATTGCATTGCGCGAATACAACAAATACCTTTATACACGTGCTCATCCGGCACGTGCACAACCTTCTGAAAACTTTGATTTGTTTATCTTAATTGTTCGCAATTTGACCAATTTATACAATTTCAGCATCGCACGGCAGACTATAAAAATTTCGCACGAAAATAGCATCCCTCGGCGATTTGAGACGAACGTGTAAAAACCAAGTCTTGTCGAACGGTGAAATAAACGCGATGGAACACGTAGTAAAATCACCGATGCAACTCGACCTCGCCACGGTATAAGAAATTATGATGCTAATGCACCAAGATACTCTCCGCGAATGCATTCACGTCTCTTGCACTTTTCTCTATCTCCCAGCAGAATAATAGGATGGCTTTCCCACGATTTTCCGGATTTATTCCGTAAACCGGGCACGATTTTGTTCCCGTCGTCGTACAGGAAAGAAATATCCTAACGATATACAATTTATATACATGGTTTCTCTCTCATAAAAGTACATTATAAAAATATTCAGATCACACGACAACTCTTGTAATATTTTGCTTCATTTTCCTCAATAGTTATCGATAATTCTTTTATGTTGGATTTATCATTCATGCAATTTAATATAACATTTATTTTCTGAAATACATCGATGAAAGAGTTTCCTCATTAATTTTTATCTCTTTTAGTGATATATTGTAATTTGCGTTTCCAATTTATAGATATTTGCGGTTGCGTCGGTAGTTGCATGCGAAACAAATCTACCGGTCCAAATTGATGATAATGACGATAGCTATGAATTTCGAGTCTTTCCATATCAATTGAGTGAAATTACGGACGTATCTCAAATTTCTCGATCGCCACGCGTATAATTGTAATCTGTTCTCTATGTTGCATACCGAAACAGTTAATGAATCGATCATTGAAAAGAGTAACGGAAGATTCATTTCATGCCGAAAAAAATTTTTGTCATTTTTTATCCAATGAATGACCGTTAATCAATATCTAACTTAATGTAGTTAATTCATTAATAACTCCTCTGGATTCATTTATATAATTATATATTCATTCTTGCGATGAATTCTAGTAATAGTTTTACAATCAAAATCATTATGAGAATTTATTGGACCAATTTTCATTATTTTTTCATAATTCAATGAATATTTTATTGTATTTACGTAGAGTTTTGGTTTAGTTTAGCTCTAAAATTAAAGTATTTTTCTTATTGAATGCACACAATGCAATTATTAATTTTTAAACTGAAATAGAAATTATAGTTTTTGTGAAAAACATAAATTCTTTTATGAATGAAATAATTGCAAATGTTTTCTTTTTTTTTCTCTTATATACCATGATGTTATTAGCAAAAGTTTCTTCTATATTCTATTATTTTATAATAATTCACTCAAATTTTTTTTCTATGCATTACCGCACAATAGATTATTATAGATATTCCGAACCCCATATTCAAGCTGTGCGGTTTCTTTTATTTACATTACCTACTTCCCGTCTATATGCCAATATCTGTATTGTGCAAAATTGTAACCAATATTCCGCCGGTCTGCATTTTCCAATTCAGACTCCGCCAAAGCCCACGCATATATTTTCGCCGTATTAAAGCTTCTTGCACATCTTCTCTTCCTTTTTCTTCTCCGGTAAGCTCTTACCAATCGCTGAATACGCTTGCTCAATTTTAAACATGAGATACAATAATCTAGAATACAATAACTTTTTCAGTTTTTTTCAATATTATTTATTACATTTACTATAAGATACATACGACGAATTATAGAATGTAGCTAAATAAATTGCAGAATCTATAAAAGTTTTGAACAAATAATTAATAGTAGTAGTAAAAAAATCTAGCCTGTAATGAATAATTGTTAATCAAGCTTAACACATGTATAAATTAGAAAAAAATAATAGTTAAAATAATAATATTGTAAATTAATGTGGACGTCTTGACTGTACTAACAATAAATTTTCCTCAGCATGAACAATTAATCAGACAGGAAAGTCAAGACAAAATTATAAAATAGATTAAAATCTAGATTAAATTATTGTAATCTAATTTGATTTATTTTATGTTAATTTATTAATTTATTATTCATTTTTAATAAATATATATTTTTAATCTTCTTAACTAATTCGTATTATCGACCACTATATTTTTCCTTAAAAGAAACTACATTTTGCTCTTCCCTTATTTATAACGACAACAATCATGAATTATTTAATGTTGATTTTATATCTTGAAGATATTTTCTATGAATATTTCCATAAATAAGTTTTAGAATTAATTTTTGCAGAAAATTCTGATCTACATTCAAGAAAACTTTATTAATTTAGGTCAGCGTTGACTCGTGTCAATATGTAGCTGATATATAAATAGCATATGACATATGAACCAATTACATTTATATGTGCCTATAAAAATGTAATGCTCTTGCATATATCGTAAAACATATAACGTAAAACTGCGAATCCCTTTTAGAGCTTTGCGCTAAGATATTTGTGTGTCCAGACTATTTATTATTTCAGCTAGGTCCGCTTCGTCCATTTAGGCCTCCATATGTATCTAGGCCATGCAGTTACAGCATAACTATATAATGAAGCCTAAATATAATCATTAGTAAATATGCCCCAAAAGCATCAAAAATTTTAGTTTATTTAAAGCAAGCTTCCATATATGATTTCGAAAATATTAGGAGTAAAAATAGAACGTTTATTGAAAGCAAACTTTATATGATTCCAAAAATATTAGGAATAAATACAGGATATTCAGAACATGCAAATGGTGTCATATAACGCATTATTTTCGCGCTATTATTCCGTTATTTTCGCTCTATTATTCTGTTTGGTCAAATACTTACTTTTTCCATGTACTCCACTTTTTCCACCCTTCTAAACGAGTGAATTTGTGTAAATAACACGTTAAATTTACATTAATAATAATAGCGATAATTGGATGTATTTATCCACGCCCACTTACCATTTGCATAATCGATATCACAATTGCGATGACGCAGCGCGCTTAAGCTAAACGTAGATTTGCATTTCCGGCTTATCAAATCCACATATTCCGATTGTATGTTCTCAGGTGCGCAGAGGATTGCACAGGCTGCAGGACGCGCTGGCCCTGGTAGAAAAAAACACGTTGGGCCTGCAGACAAACTGCGCTTCGGTCGCCGAGGAGGTGGACGAGATTTATCGGAGGCTGAGCAAGGCTTTGAAAGACCGTACGGAACATCTGCGTAACGAGGTCGATCGATACCTCGGCACCGAGCTCAGAGGCCTGATTCAGCTCAAAGAGAATCTCGAATTGGAAATCGCGAATATCCAGAGCAACTGCGATCTGGCGGAGGCACACATAAATGAAAACGTGCCATGGGATGACGCTGAGCTCCTGGACACAAAGGAGCTCTTCCTGCGTACGGTGGAATTTATCAGGTTCGTCGCCGCGTAATCTCCATTTTCTTTTCGGCACCCGCTCGTTAAACCCTACGCGGTCCTGTAGTCTTGTTACGATTTATTATCGGCTATCTATTCTGCAGCCTCCTTTTTTTTACAGCGCCGACCAGAAAGAAATCGTTAAATGAACGGTTTCCTATCTCCCGCGAGCTATTTTATTTCAATTTCGGATCCCGTAGTGATGCTTCACCTCGATTCTATTTTGATTTAATAGCACCCACGTTATTTCGTAAAATTATTACAACTGTTCCTTTTCTAACAAGATTGTTTATCGTACTATGTTTAAACTAAAAATTGTATTTACGTTGTTTATTATCGAGCAAAAAATATTTATTATTTATAATATGATATTTCTCCTACCTCTCTACAAAATGCAATCAATTTAAAAATTGATAACCATATCTTTCAGGCATACCACAATATAATAAATAAACATAAATCTCTCTAGGATAACATCGATACTCTCCAATAAAAAAAAATCGATCGTAATTTGAATGCTGTCGAAATGAATATGCCGATATTGGCAGCTGCCATATGAATTCCGGCCGAGATTTGTGATAATAACATTGCAAGTATAATATAGCAGAAATTCAGCGTTGGCTAATGTAATTAACGTTCAACATTACCGCGAACACCATTATGAAATATGTAACGCGCGCAAAATCTGCTGTAAATCACAGACGCAAAACGCGCCACATAACAAAATTATACGTTCATTAATCCAAGTACAATAATTGTGTTAAGTAAGTGACAAAACATCGAAGAGCGCATATTTCAATTGCGGAAATCGCTGTATGTAAAATCGCGTGATCGCATTTTTAACTTCGATAAAATAATATGTTCCGTTAATAAATATTGTTGAATTACTGAATTTTAAAAACACGCGTTATTGTAGAAATCTCATGTTAAACCAAGATGTAAAAATGTCCAGCAAAGCTGTGCAATTCTTTCGAATGTATTAATTAAACGGAATCGCGCCATGTTGAAAGTTTAATTCAAATAGATGCGCCCGGCATTGTACCGTTTAGCAAGTTTTGTAGTTTAAGTTTTTTTCAATTATTTTTATTTCTATCAAACAATATTGTAAAACTGAAAATACGCAAAGTTAAAATTAATCATACCTTATCGCGCTTGATAAAAAAAAAATGTTTTTCACTCATAATACGACATTATAAAATGATAAAAAGATTAATATTTCTATCATAATTTCTTTCGACTTCACACAGTACAATCTGCAACATAATTATTATCGATTTTGCAAAACTTAATTTGTAGCATTAGCGGTCCGTCATATTTCTCAGCAAATGAAGATGGACGATTGTTCTTCGCAGGAACTTCGAATATGAGGCGGGGGATTATAACCGACGAGTCCGCTTCGTGATGGCGCACGATCCGAATCAGCTTGTCCTTCACGTGGCGGGTTACGGCGAATTGAACATTAAACCGGAAAGCGGGAGCGGCGGATTGCTGGGTAGCTCCAGCAGTTTAGCCCCACCGGTGGGTTCGCCTGGTCTTATGAGAAGCAAGAGCGATCACCGTCTCGCCTCGCAATACAGGCAGCAAGAAGAGGAACGACTGGCCAGGAATCGATACGTTCCCGAATACGAGTAACTATCGCTACTTCTTACGTCTCTCTTCTCGAGAGTGCTCGAATATCCGAGTATTATTTCCCGATATCACTAGCGGTGTGAAAAATCAATCGCTTTCGTACCGCTATTCTAAACATCGTGAGCCCATCTGTTTGCAAGCACGAATCAAATCTTATCTATCGTTGCCTCTATTTCTTTCTAATATTGATTTATAGAAAAATATTGTGACAACTTATTTATTTTTTGTATAGAATACTTGCTGCAAAAGACTATTACGTTTCTTCATATTGCAACCGTGACATCAGCTTATAAAACGATAGAAATTTCTCCGAAAGTAATATCATACATACATATATACTTCGTAGAGTTTGGGGAATATGAAATACCGATTAGGGAGGGCAAGAACCATTGGGTACGAGATAGAACTTTTTTTCACAAAAAAAAAAACTGTCTATATGTTTCGACTTTTCGACCAGTACCAGTGTAAGTAGATTATAAAAATAAATGTCCAGACACAGGGAGACCATTTCTTCCGCTATTTATTAGTGAGATCAATTTGTCTCGGAGCCGATTTAAAACTGCAAGACGTTCAATGGAGACAAGAAGTGTCCTTGGATCGTTGGACGATCCGAGATCGAGTGCCACTCCTTAATTTATAGCGCCGAGATTCAGTCTGTTTTCGAAACGATAAATCAGCCGTCGTGAAAATTCGCAATTTTATTTACGGAACGAGGACGTGTCGCGCTAATACATCTGTAAGATGACCATGAACAATTTGCTGCTCGTACAATCGTGGCCGATATATTTCTTCGAGAATCGACTCGTGGAGTAAAAGCGTTCCAGGCACACGCGCGACGTTTTATTGTTTATTACTACGAAGGTGTAACAGATTGAACCGATAATACCATGGCTTTTTGCTGCGAGGCGTTAGATAATGGAACGTATTAATATTCTACTCGCGCAACAACAGAAACGACTGGTACGTGCCTAGCAAGTCCGGGAGGAGCGTATATTTACGGTACGATTAGACTAATCAGATTAAAATCGAATATCTTTAATCGGATCCTTTTAATCGGATACTTTTTGAGACAGCTATTATAATTTTGAATATATTAACTTTGCTCAGATTTAATTTTACTAGCAGTCTTCACTGCACCCTTCATAATGTTAATTATTTTCTAAATTACAATTTTCACATGTTTCTTTTACATACAACATATTAAATAATATAAGTGCGACTATTAATTTTAATTGAAAGTCGTGATGTAGGGCAAAATATTGCATTTTAA